AGGCGTCTCGCTGCCTCGGTTACATAAGTCTAAGCCTGAAATCGGCTCCCCCATTCGTGCGAAAGTTGGCTTATGAGACATACATTCGACCCAAATCGGAATATGCTGCGGACATTTGGAGCCCTCACCAAATATACTTTTTAAATCATCTCGAGGCAGTCCGGAACCGCGCTGCCAGGTTTATTTTGAGGAAATACGATTGGTCGGTTAGTGTATCCGCCCTAAAGAGCGAACTGAACCTTCCTTTACTAAACGTCCGCCGTAAGATAGCGCGGCTCTGTCTCTTTCACAAAATTTACTACTACCTCCCTGCGCTCCGAGACCCGCTCCTCCTACCCCCCAGGCGATCTTCATCGCGGCTAAATCACCCGTGTCACGTTTCTCGCATCTCAGGCAGCACATCCTATTTTAACTCCTCCTTCTTCCCTCGTTCTATTGTAGATAGGAACGACCTCCCCTCACTTATTGTGACCCAGACGGATCCCACCGCATTTCGCAACGCTCTTTGTGCTCATTTCTGTTAATCCCACTGTGCCTTTCTATTTGTTTGTCTTGTGCTTTACTGGTTGCCATGTATCAATGTTTTCATCCCCTTACGCTCCCTATGTACCCAGACTAATTTGTGTATTGCCGTTGCTCGTGGCGATGCCACGTTGTTTTGCAGCACCCCATGTATCCGCATATGTCGTTGTTACTGTTTTATGCTCTCGTGTTATGTACCCCCCCTTATGTAATGCCCTCAACGAGGGCCTTTAAGGGAACTTGAATAAATAAATAAATAAATGTACCGGCCAGGAGCGACCAAAGAAAATGTTAACGAGCAGGTGAACTGGTTTACCATGATCGCTCTAAAAAAGATTACGGCACGAAGGACACAAAAGTTTGAACACATCGCCATTTCAAAACAAAGTTGGGCTCATATCAGTGCAAAGAGGTCTCAGGGAACAACTGTTTTACTCTTAGGTTCCCTCTTTTTGACCGTGTCCATCCGTATTTATTAAGCAAAAGCCTTACTTTAAAAACCCTTTTAATACGTTTTAATAATAATTTTGCACCTACAGAAACATTTTAAATCGCAACAGATTGATTCCCTTTCCTTTAAATACAGTAAAACCAACGAAGCCAACAGACGAGATGGTTTACAATTGCAAAGCCAACAAGGTCTGTTTGTCTTGTCGCAGCCTTAGCATTTACTCATGCTGAGGCTATTGCCAAAATATTCATGCATCATACTGCAAATTTGACTGTGGACCCCTAGTACCAGTATGTCTCTTGAACATGAACAAGCTTTTTGAACCTTATCAGGCACGTGTGTCTTAGTGGTCACCACGAAGTCCGCCTTCCCTAAGTGTGGCAGAGTAAATAACCAGTTGACACGCAAGGTGATTACCTAACTTAACCAAAGTTTGGCAACCTGAGGGACCTCACTTGGGCTGATAAGATGTTGCTGCAAGCAGATAGTTAAGTCCAAGGTATTATGCCTTGGCCCTAGCTATCTAAGAAAAGTCATCGGCTTTGGTCTGGTTCGCCATAATAGTGCCACAGACGACTCAAAGATGCCAGGCAACAACCAAACAATCATCAGGAAAGCCTATCTTTGGTAGTTGCTCGTTAATCTGGGCCCCAGAATACCGGTTGAAAACGAACTGCCGGGGAGGAAAGCCTAACTTTGGAATTAAATAAGCGATTTAGGTTTAGGTGGCCATACCCTGACTCTTACCAAAGAATATCTGGTTGGGCGATACCTTAGCTTCTGCGGGGTTTAAAGGTCATTAATTAACCACATTGAATAAACCTAAGACTGGGGCAGAAAATAACATAAAAGTCGAAGGAACAGAAAAGGACATGACGATGTCTGGAGACGTCGTCCTCTCCTTTCCTGTTACTTCGACTCGTTCTTTTCTGCCCCAGTCTCAGGTTTATTCAATATAGTTAACATTCACCAGCTCGCCTGCACCCTTACTATATTATCCTATAAATTAAATTCCCAGAAAAATAAAATCAAACTGCGGGCCGAGAAACTTCACTGCCTTGGCACGCACCTCCAGAGCCGGAAGTTGAAAAACTATGCTGTACATAACCACGTACTATGACAGCTGGCCCTGTTATATCTCATGAGCCTGGGCGCTTACTTACGAGCAAAAAGGAAACGACACGGAAGCCAGAGCTAGTGCATTTCTTTTTACAGTATGTACAACGAGTTTTATTAACATTCGGCGCGGGGAGCGCCTTGCTGCGATGCACAGCGCGAGCGAGCTCAACAATATATTACACGGTTGGAGAAGTCCGGCGCGGCACCGCCGCTGGGGCGCGGCTTCTTCGCTGGTATGGAAGCGGGCGTGCCCGGTCGGCTGTGGCGTGCCGGAGAGTTCGTCGAGGTTGGAGGGTTTCCAGTATGACTTCGGGACCTCACAGAAAAAGGAAGGCAAAAACAAAATACGATTGTTAATAAAGCTTCTGGTGCAAGCTACTCAAGTGAAGGTGTCACAGTTTGAACATCAAAATAAAATATAAAAAAGTGAAGTTACATGCGCTTTTCAGGCAAATTTGTTGCTTTCCACTAGGTTGGAGGCGTCAGCCTGAGTGCTACTAAAATTGATGAAGTGTAAAGAAAGACATAAACAAAATACGACTGTTATTAAAGCTTCTTGTGTGAGTTACGCGAGTAAGGGTGGTGTATTTTGAACATTGCATGAAGAAACAAAGAAGTCATCTGCAAACAGCGAAAGTATGCGGACGAGCTCGTTGGAAAACGTTATAATCTAAACCCTAATAAATGGAGATATAAACGAAAAAAAAAAAAGATCACACAAAATATCAAGGTTTTGTGTCGTCTCGTTCGTTGTTTTATTTATCCTTGCCTCGGTGTCTAAATTATGAAGTCAGTTGACCCTTTCAAAATTATATTGTAACTAAACAACGTTTTAATGACATCAGATGAATTTCTGTTCAAATGATGTTGTAAAAAGGAGAAACTAAAAAAGCACTAAACAGAAGGGGACATTGGGCCAAGTGTTTCGGTTAAAGCACCAGTATATGTGAAGCGGCTAAAACACCATAACCTGAGGCGGCTCGCGATGGAGGTTAAGGCATTCCGAGTCATTAATATTGGTATGCACGAATGTTGCGACGCAGTGCACTCAATATGTGATCACTACTGTGTGCTGGAGATTAAATATCCCGGAGTTCGGAGGGAAGTGCATTGACTAAACAAGCCCCGAACCGTAGAATCATGAGGTGCCTCAGCACGATAGACTATTCTACCGTTATATTAATAACTGACGCAACATAGGGAGGAATACTTGCGCCCAGTCGTCTGTTTTGTGTTCTGTTTAGTTCTGGACATCTTTGATCAAGAACTGAAATTGGCGACTCCAACCGTTCGCATTGAAACGGAGAAGATTTTGTTTGGTCTATCTGGTTTTGTTGATACGCTCCTTTGTCAATTGAAGTCAATTCGTTTATCTCAGTTGATTATTTTTAAATGAAGTTCATGCGAACCTAGGCTTCGATTAATCACGGAATGCGTCTTGCTGTTTCTCAAACGTACAAGAATGACAGTGAGGAACGCATCGTGACCTGTGCTTCTTAACTTGTTTTTGGGTCATAATCTAAGAACTAAAAAGAAACATTAAATAGGCCGACAACATCCTCTATGCGGAGTTTGGCAAAATGAGCAACCGAATACTCCACTTGGCTCAACCCCCTGCTCCATTTCACACAGCTGGTGTTAAAGAGTGCTGCACGTTGCTCAAACTTAGTGCCGTGCTTTTTTATTGGGTTGGTTTGAAAACGGGAATGAATCAACAATATAAGTTACGAATCCAGATATTACCATTTTCTAACTGCATAAATGTGCATTTATCGGTTCTTTCTGAGACGGCAGTACAACTCTGTTAAACATTTTACAAAAAACCAACGTCAATACAAATTTAACAAATATATATATATATATAGTTATCCCCATTTTTGAATTAACCAGGATAATTTATATTACATTTTGAAATATCTCACTTTCCGATCCGACTTCAATTGGGGAAATTAAATGCCGCGTCCCGATCGAACTGGGTCATCGTCCGAAGTCCCCTGGGAGAACAGCGTTGGCTTTTGAGCAATACTTGTGTTTATGCGGAAAAGCAAACTCAACGAAACAGCTCCTGCCGGTGTTCGGTTGCTGTATGGGTGACAATGCACGTCCGGTCACACACATGCGTATGACTACGACCGACGCCGACATGGCAGGTTTTTAATCCTCTTGTGACAGCTTACGGCCGGCTGCGCTGCTCCGGCGCCGGTCGCAAGCCGTCACGAAAGGCTGAAAACCCGGTTTTTAGCCTCTCCGGTCATAAGTCGCAAGTGAGTAAACGGGGTTTAAGATGACTTCTAAACTCGGCCTACTTCTATCATGTACATGATGGAAACTAACATTTATTATTATTATTATCATTATCATTATTACTGACACCCGATATATTATTAACAAATATAGCGCTGAACCTTCAATGTTCTAATGATATGGTTCTTGTATAGTTTTTCAAGAATCTTCAAATCAGAATTTACGTGCTCAATACAGAGAAAACTCTGCTAAGGCGAATGTAACAGTGATTTTGAAATCTAAATCTCAGAAGCAACGCCGAGCCCTCCTTTGCGTGGCACTGTTTTACTTCCTTTCCCATCCAATGATCTTTGGGTTAACATAGAATTAATAAAACAAATAAAATTGGCAATATAAAAACTTTCTTTTTCTTCGTCTTTGATGTCTACAGACGGTGAAAGGTAAAGAGTTCAGTGGAAGCACCTTAACCTCTCTTTCTATTTTCGACAGCGTTCGCTCTGCTAAAGTACGAAGGGCTGGGAGGAGTTTCCTTGAATTTTTAACCTGCCACCGACTCTAGCTTTCAATGCAAATTAACACCTCTATTTTAAAACATTTCATGGTCCTTCCTGTCCTGGTAATATTCAGATACCAAGCTCCATCAACTCAGCAACGTACCACTCTCTCACTGCCATCCGCCACCGTGGTGTCCACCACCACCGCCGCCACCGCCATAGCCTCCCCCGCCGCCGCCGCCTCCTGCTGCCACCTTGACGACTTCGACGTTCTCTACTTGGAAACCACCGCCTCCGCCTCCGTGTCCGCCTCCGAAGCCTCCACCTCCGAAGCCTCCGCCACCTCCGTAGCCGCCGCCTCCGTGGCCACCGCCGCCTCCAGAACTGTGCGTCTTGGTCTCTTCTTCAACGTGGACTTGCTGCAAATTGGCGCCCCCACCTCCACCTCCATGCCCACCTCCGAAGCCACCTCCTCCGCCGAAACCGCCTCCGCCGAAGCCACCTCCGCCGAAACCGCCACCCCCGTAGCCACCTCCTCCGAATCCACCACCGCCGTGGCCGCCACCGCCGCCGCCTCCTCCTCCGGAGATAGCCTTGACCTCGAACACCTCGTGTCCACCTCCGCCACCTCCGCCTCCGAATCCACCTCCTCCGAAGCCACCTCCACCAAACCCGCCTCCACCGAAGCCTCCTCCGCCGCCGCCGTGTCCGCCGCCGCCTCCTTGAACCTGAGCTTGGCCTTCCATGGCGACGATGTAACCGACGGGGCCGTGCCGGGTGGCACCAAGTGGCCGGCTCGGGAACTTGTTCGGTATCTGTGGGGAAAGATGTCTTCTTTTTCAGCCCGTGCTGGGTGTGCGCTATCAACCGACGAGAAGCCGCTACTTAGTGTGCTCCAGACGAAACACGTGAAATTTTGAATATCGATAGGACACCCTAGGGACATTTAAATTTACCAGGAGCCTTCTGGAAGCTTCAGAGTAGTGGCTGACGTTTCGCTCTAAGCCTATTTTCGAAAAAGCTGTCTTATGCAGAAATATCGGCTGCCACAATAAGGCTCTGACGAGGTTTTTTTTTTCAATTTCTTTCTGTCGGCTTCAGGTCCGGCTAACTTCGCGGTTTTCAAAGGGTTGTTGAGTCATTCAATGAAAAACTCAAGGTGCAAGAAGGCAGCCACTCTTGTCTCACCGTGAGGAGGTACCTAGTAAAACAATATTCAGGCATACAGCACCCATCATAATAAGGTCAGGAAGGCCATTGGAGTCTTCAGTCGGCTCATCTTCTTAGTTGGACTGCATTTTTTTGCCTTCCACGACAGAAAACAATGACTACAGCAACTCATTCGCAGAAACTTCGTGGACCGCTATATAAATGACAGCCTCCGACACCTCTGGCTACCGTCGGCTACGCACCTGAGAGCCTCTCAGCCATTTTCCCCTGAGGCTGCGTGTCCATTAAATCACGATTCAGATCGCCCACTTCAATAGTCGTACAAACTGTAAAAAATTTAAATGACTTCTGTTCTGAGTGCGACACAGGGCCGTATAGATAAAGTAGATTGAAATATTGAAATCGGCACCGCCTTATGTACTACGTTCCCTTGTGCCATTCGTAGTAGAGGTTTTTCAATGACATAGTACCTGGACATGCTGGAAGTCGATGGGCACGGAGCTGGTGTCCACATGGGCCGTGAAGCGACGCAGCGTGGTCACCTGACGGCCGCCGCCGCCACCACCACCACCACCGCCGCCTCCACCCTTAATGACGATGACGTTGGCGGTGTCTCCGCCACCACCTCCTCCACCTCCTCCGACAAACCCGCCTCCTCCGCCACCACCTTCCGTTACCGATGGCACGTCGATCGCTGCATTTGGAAAATAATAAATTAATACAGTCATATCTGCACTGTTTATTTCTCTCCGCATGAATTATACGGAGGCAAAAAAAAAGAAAACAGATCTGTATCAAACAGTTTTGCAGGTTCGTGTTTCTCCTCATGAATAAGGAAGAACGTTAAGGGTCGGTGATTGCAGCCATCATGTGTTTTCGGTATTTTGTGTAGAAAATCATAGCAGTGATGTTATATCTACAATCTGTTATGAATATGAATAAATATAGAAAGAATAATCGCTTTTTGGCAGTGTTTTTTTTTTTTACTTCAGGAACATTTTAAGAAGTTTCAGTAGACTGTTCAGTCCATTGAAATAAACGTATATTGGGACTGTCTAGGTCATCAAACTTTCTGTCTGCAATAAAAGATTGAGGCGTGCTCTACGTTTTCGCAGCAATGGTTTGCTTCTAACACAAGTAAGAACAAACTGGTGACTTCTGAAAAACAGGAATAATCAGCCTTAAAGGAACCATCTGGGAATCATCAATATTTCACTTGATGCTTATTTCACTAAATTAATTTTTTCGTTTCCTTTTTTTTTTTTTTTTGCTCTGTAAGTGTACACATATATTTCAACTTTCACCTTACCCTCATAGCGTCAGTGTTGGCGGTGCGGTTCTAAAAGATACTCTAGAGTCTTTCGTGCAGGCATGGAGAAGTATTCAAAGATAGAAGATTGTGTCTTTCAGACAGTGTATTCTTTTTGCGAGTATACTGCACTTTATAGCACTTTGATGTACGTGATGCTGCAGCTCTATGCTAGCGGGTTCGCGCTAAAAGTTTAAGAATTCTCAGGGCAACATTTTGCCCTGAGCTCTAATAAACTGCAACAAAAATGACCATAGTGTTACCCAACAGTATGGCGAGAATCTTCCTATGGTCATTACGATAACTATTTGAAACTTCTTCGTACTGTAAATAATATATAATATAAAAATGCTCGCCTTGAACATCGACAGAGTGGCCACCACCGCCTCCGCCTCCGAAACCGCCACCATGGCCACCTCCACCTCCAAAGCCTCCTCCGTGGCCTCCACCTCCGAAGCCTCCGCCTCCGAAGCCTCCACCACCGAAGCCTCCGCCGCCACCGCCAAGACCACCAGCGGAAACCAGTGCCCAACTCAGGGACAATGCAATCACCTAGAAAAAAAGCAGAAAAAAAAAAAACATTTTAAGCTTTACGAAAAGTTCGTCATGTTAAATGAGATAAATAATGTTAGAGAGTTTCCTTGAGAAAGAATGAGAAAGGTCAAGCGAAAGGCGCCTAAACTACGTTGATTTTCCAAGCACGCTAGCGACCTTCATGTAGTCTGAAGCTGTACTAAGACATTTCGGGATTTTTTTTTTTGGTATATTATGTCCTGTTTTTGAGTATTCAAGGAGCATATTTCCATGCCATCTTTTGTACCATGTATCTCGGTCACGAAACAGGGAGACGTAACCTCAATTAGTCGAAAGATATGCTTAGAAACAGCATATATTGTTACTTAGACACGTTTTAAATGTTTAATTGATCGTGTCCATTATGCGTTCATTACTTTCGTCAGCGAAGCATCAGATTTAATTTTATAAACTCAAACTACGCACTAGAGTAGGGCTGCTTAAGGCCATCGTTCTTATTGACCAATCGTTGGTCACTATGCAAATTGGCTGTTACACAAATCCCTTGTTGTAAAATCCTTCCGCTTTACCCATCTACGAAAAGCACGCATTTCTTTTCCGTCAGGGCACCGTTCAAGTTTCACTGGCTCGATAGTACCATGCATGTGTTCTTGGCCATGTTTTTTACAAGAAAGGTTCAGGCATTGCGCTAGTGCAAATGAGCATCGCTGGTTCTTACACTAATCTCTCTCTTATTATAGTGCTAAAAAGTTTCTGCAGTCTAGCACATTAAAAAAAAACCTAAATTTAGCGCGGGCGCAACATTCTCACATTTTGGGACTCACCGTTGCCTATATCTTATCACAGTGTAGCAGTCGCAGTGGGAGGTTTCTTTCTTTAGAGTACTTCCTATACCATATGTCTTACCGACACATCCCTTCTCTGCTGCGCTTCCTCTATGAAGGACGGCCGTAAAGCCAGGTAGCCGCTTTCTCCGCGTGCGTCGTCGGAGCGAAGAATTTTAAGCAGGGTAGCAGCACCAGTCGGGTGGGCGCTCTCTGGCAGCCGCATCGTGACCCCACTCTGGGAAGAGCCCACTTCCTCTTACCTTTGTGACGGCCATGCTAGTCTCGGGATGTCCGTTCGGCGCGGAGCCTTGGACAGCACTGATGCCCTCTCGGACTGTGGGCACGTCTTTTTATAAGGCTTACCCTCTCCTCGCGCCACCTGTGTCCGTGCGTGCCGCCGGGGCGAGAAGGGGACTCCAGAAGGGGGCCCTTCCGAGAGAGCGCGGGGGAAGTCCGCTCTTCCACGCCGACCACATAAAGCAGAAAGTGAGACGGCGTAGCCCACTTTCACTCTCGGTGCAACCACTCTCCTCGCCGGCCATCTCTCCGCCTCAGGTGTGCGGATGGTAGCGGAGAACCTCAACCGAAAACAGACACCGAATTTTTTTTCCCCCTTTCTGTGCCCACAAGGGTTGTGATGCAGGTTTCCGGATCTTCGCGGCGCCGTCTGGCGCGTACATGAAGACTGGATGCTACTCCCTGTGTCGCCTCCGCTGGAGACTAAGCCGTAGATCCGAATTGCCCGTTAGTTGCAGCGTTCGCCGGCGACATTCTCGCCTTGGTGTTTAGTGTCCTAGCGACCCATGAGTTACTGCTTATCGTCATCCCCGCTGCTTCGCCCTACTGCGTCTATTACTCGGTGGTGCGGCTATTTCTAGCGCACAGGAGGAAGGTAGCCGAGTTGTTCCCGCCATTGTCATGTAAAACGGTTCGGAAGTGGAGACGCGTCTCAAAATGGAGGTGTTGAGAGGCGGCTCGCAACCTCCCGATATGATATGGGCCAGTGACCGTTTTTAGGCAAAGGTCCTTCTTTGCATTTGCGCGATCGTGCTCGAACAATGAGAAGCTTTGACGTGCCTCCCCCGCGCTGCGATTGGAGTTTGGGATATTCTTAGGTCTTCGTTAGGAGCTTTCTGGGCTGAGGTGCTAATTGAGTCTCGCAGTTGCCATAGCTTCCTTGTCCCTGCAAATTATATTTGGTTCTCTACCGTTCTGTACTCTTTCACATATGATAATTGCGTTATTATTGTTTGTCTAAAAATGTTCGCAAAGCGAGAAAAAAACAACAAACCTCATGTATAATTTTGTTTTGGACAGTGGTTTAATTAATTATCTCTTTATATTTAGATTCGAGAGTTTTTACCGTATCAATCAAGTTATGACATTTATGACTTCCCAGCCGCCGACTGAGGATTAAGCCAGGCGTCGTAGGAGTCCTTTACCTGCAACCAAAATGTCAGGTAAACTTCGCCTGTACACACAAGGTGTTTTCCTAAAATCACAACCAGTCGCGTTTGAAACCGTCACCTTGGTGTTTAATGGCACTGGTAATTCTCGGAACAACCGCGATACCACCGCCACAGAAAGGATTTTTAGCCGATGTTAATTTCGAGAAACTAGAAAACTAGTTTATTTTGTTGAATGGTACTAGACTTTCCTGCGTAACATAGCTTGGCATTGGCACACGACAATTCTTCTCTTAATAATGAACAGCAAGCGAAATAAGCTGCACGGAGTTTTACCAGGTTTCATATCGATGATATTTCGAGAGTACTTTATTCTGAGGCCCTCGAAATTGTACGGAATAAACGATATAAAAGGGAATCTTTATTTTCATGATAATTAGGGTTCCGTGTGAAAGGTTGTGGGCTATTTGTTTAGGAAAAATATTTTCAAATAAAATACTCGAACATTTTGTAGCATACAAATTTAAAGAAATTCATAATGCGACCTGACGACCCGGTGCAGAAACTAAGAAAAATGCCAGCGCATCTCAATTCACGTAAAGCCGGCGGAGCGCAGGTAGCAAATAACTAGACGCAAAAAAAAAAAAAGGATTAGACAACAGAACGCAATCTGCGCGGAAGCAACCATCACGCGAAACATGATGCTCATTGCCACTACGTAGATTTATATTTCAGGTCAAACCGTCTTCGGCGCTCCGTGATTCCCATAGCGTTCTTTGTATATTTCCCAGTGATTAAGCTAAACCGTTCTCTTCGAGAAAGAAGACGAGCAGAAACTTACTTAAACTGTTCACGTCAAAAATGAACGGAGCCAAAGAAACAATCGAAGTTGGCCAACCGCCCTCCTTTAACCTTCATTTTTAAACTACGGAAATATGGTTTCTAACAAGAGACGTCTCCAAACGGCCAAATGCTTCGATGAGCGGCCTAACCCTCAAGGCGAGTCGCACAAAGGCATTTCGTCGTCCGAAGCAGACGTTTCAGCGCGCGCGCGAGCGTCCTCTTCCTCGACGCATTTATTTATGTATCTTTATTTATTTTGCGGCTTTCCCGCAGTCCCGCTTCGAAGCGGTGCTCATTGTCTCCGTGCCTCGTCACCCGGGGATGCAGAGAAACGGTCTCCATTAACTTGACCTCTGCTCAGGAGAACAGGACAAAAGGAGGAACGGGCCAAAGCCATATCTTTAGCTTCCTCGCGGTGTGACCCAGTTGTGCGGGCAGCCAGCAGCCCCCGTCGGATCCTCGACCAGAAGGAGCCGCGAAACGGGCCTCGTCGTCTTCGATGCAGAGGGTTTCATCTTTCCCGAAACACCTTCTTCGAGCCGCAACGACTCGTCGAGGGAGAAGACGATTGTAATTCTTCCGCGACTCTCTTTTAAATCTTGCATTTCTAGTCAGACGGGCTACACCAACCCCACCTAAAATAATCGATACCCGCGAACATCCTTCTCTTCCTACACGAGACGTCATTAGAGTCCGGCGGTGTCAACTCAGCAACTGGACCAGAGCCCGAAGCCGAACGTCCGTCGACGCGTTGATTGAACGCGTGTCCTGTGGCCGAACTCCGACGCAACACTCGCGTTACGTCATCTTTCGGCACTCGTGCGGAGGCCTTCATCATTGTAGGGGGCGCGTTTGGCTATACACCACCATCAAGTCTCTTGATACTTCTTTTTAAAAGTAATGACAACCAATACAAGTGACAAAGCACGTTCCACTGGAACAAAATGGCGGCATTCAGTTAAGTCTTTTGCTTTGCTCCGCCATTCACTCCCTTAAACTTCCACCGTCGCGCAGTCGGCGCTTCAAAGCATGCCGCTATTTGTGGGAAACTCTTATCTAGGGAATTTACACCACCACTATAAGAGAGCCACGAGACTCTGTTATATTCCGACGTCGAGCGTAGCGAATGCGGCGTAGCACAGAGCACACCGATACTGATTGGTCGCAGATATCGAGTTCCTGCACGCTGGCAAATGAAACGCGCGCGTTCTGCGCTACGCTGCATTCAATGCACTCAACGACGGGGTATAACAGGGCCTTTAATGATAAACTTTTCTTCGCCACAAAAGAAGGCCCAAGTAGGACAGAGATTGGACGCGACCACTGAGTAACCGTTTGGCTTGGGCACTTCCATTTGAACTCTGACGCACTGGTAGGGCCCTATAAGTGGGCCTTCTTTAGTGACACAGGAAAAGTCAGCACTAGGTCTTCTATATATTGTTTCAGCTTAAGTAATGGCGCAGACGACGCTACGGTGTAATGGAACCGCTCAAGCAGCGTCGAAAGCGCAAGTCACTGGGCCGTTTCTGTTTATGGTTGTTTCAGCGATGATAGAAAAAGTACAGAAACGCGATGAGCACCATGGCGGCGCGCTTTCGGAGCTGTCTGATTGGTCCCATCAGCTCGTATAGGACTTGTCTGGACTTGAGATGAAACGAAGTATAATCGTAGAGGTGTTGACTAAAGACCTTTCCAGTGTTAATCACCTGTTCGAAAACCGCTGAGTCATTTAACTCTGGACGCATGCGCAGCGTCTGATATACCGCACAGCAGAGCAACAGCGCATGCTCATAAGGCGTTCCATAGTAGAGCAGACCAAGATGGCAGCGCGCAGAAGGCCATTTTTGCAAAGATCTATAGTCACCGAAAACTTAAAGGGCAACTCTGGTCAACATTTTTGAATTTGAGATGACGACTGTTTCCAGCCAAAGTTGCGACTCTGAATTCCAAGGTATTATTGTTTTTCTAGATATTGTGTTGTAAATCTCAATACTGTGTTACTACGTTTTTGCAAAAGCCTACACAAAGCTAGTACTTCTAAGAAGAAAACTTATCCATGCTAGCAGTGACGTGCGGCTACTTGCGTATCAGTGCTATGTTCGTTCGGTCTTAGAATACGCAAACTCGGTATGGGACCCATATAGGCAAAAATCGGAATTCTCAAATAGAAAGAATAGAAAATCGAGCTCTAAGATTTATTTTTTCCAGATACAACCGTATGGATTCTGTTCAGCACTGAGACTAATGGCACAACTTGACTCTTGGGCTAAGCGAAGAAAAGTGGCATGACTAAAACAACTATTTTGTATTGCAAACGGAATGACGAAGATTGACCCTCAGTTGTACCTGCGGCCTTCAACATCACGCTCCCAGAGGATCACTAACATCAAGGCGATTGCTCCTTACTAGTATAAAAATGTTTTCAAGTCCTCCTTTTTGTAGAACAATTATTGAATGGAATCCTCTGCCCAATGAAGCTGCCAACTGTCTTGATCTTAACTCAATCGAGTTAGCATTACGCTAGTGTTTGCCTGACTAGTATATGCACCACCGCATGGTCAATATGTATTAACAAAATGCACAGGAGGCAACAACCTTGCCTGTGATAGTGTAATGATCTGTCCGAGCGCTGTAACGTGTTTGTTTTGCTTGTACAAACTTTTTTATTTCTCTTCTGCGTTGACCGCCAGGCTCGCAGTATGGTAAATAAATAAATAAATAAATAAATTATAACGGCTCAAAGTTTGATTTTTGGCGCCTGCGGCAAAACTGAAACTATATGCTAGGGTGATAGAAACAGTGATTATCATCCGTAAGGCCGCCAAGGGACAACTTACGGGTGCTGCGGTACGCGGTACAGCCAATCAACCGCAGCTCCACCGAGACGTTGCGTCACAAGGGTGCTGCGCCAGTCTCGATTAAAAGCTAGCCCGCTTGCTGCCCTCTGAAAAGCAGCTGGTCGCATCTTTAAAATAGGTTCTAGCGGAGTACGTGGTTTCACTTTGACTTAATAATTCGTCTGTGAT